TGAAAGATACCTTTTTATCATAACATGTGGTTCTCCTCATCTATGTACCCTGCATTCAGTCTTCTTTGTTTTGTAACTAGTTGTTGGAAAACAAACACAGGGCCAATGTAAAAATATGATGTGAAGTCTGTATCTGTGAGGAAATCCCATTTTGAGAGAGCTGCTAGGGTTTGCAAGACACGAAAGTGATAGGACTTGGGCATGTTATGACATGGATTCACATTTCCCTTTGTCCTCGGATCACAGTTAGGGGCTAATTTGCCACAAGTTTCAATCTGTGAAGGAGATCATTTTGGAAAGGCTTAAATGTCTTCCTCCATGGCCTCTCATGTTTGGAAACTTTTTAACTAGACAATGTTGTTTGCATTTCTTATTTGGGAAAATAGCATTCTATCTCCTGTTAACAGAAACTGTCGATTTAATTGTAGCTAAGTACAATTCCTGATTCACCAAAGGCATATTAGGGCACCTCTACTTTACATAAGAATATTTTATACTGTTTTCCTATTTAAATATTGATCATGGTGACATTTTACTTGATCAACAAGGTCATGGAACTCAAGATGGCAATAAAAAAACAAACAAGCTGTGAAACAAAAGAAGATACACAAGAGAGCAGAAATAATAACCCAATTTTCCTACCCCATTAAAGAATCTCCTTAGAATTATTCAAAATTCACCTGTTTTTAAATGAATGAGACCTCTCAAAGATTGCCCACTCAATCCCGGATTAAAGATGTGAGACGACATAGTTGGGTTAAAAATGGGCCACATTTTATTGAAAATAAATGATATCAGCCAATCAATTGTCCAATTATAAGGGGCCTGCTATGGTGCGGAAAAGGTGACAGGTAGGGGTAACCAAACCCCTAGATCATAAATTGGGCAAGTCCCGGGCCCCCAGGTTCCAGCGGTCTACCAGACCGCTGGAACCTGGATGGCTGCTACTAAACACCCCCAGACCTCCAGACATCTTTACTTGATGACTATTGGTCCAGAAGTGGCCCAGTGCGTCCTTCCTGAACCAGCCCTGTAATCGCATGATCCGCAGAGCCGGGAGGTCGGATGCGCTGTTGGCTAAGATGAAATTACAATTGGGACACACCAAAAACCCCTATTTTCCACACTACCCGCCAGTGTGACCAAAATGCAACCAAAAACGGGGGGGGGCAACAACCCTTCTCCAGTGCAGGGTAGGCAAAAAAATCCCCCCCCCCGGTCCAATGGCCAATCAGGATGAAGGTCAAAAATTTCTATCCGGCCCCAAAATTGGCGACCAAAAATCACACTAGAAATAGGGAGGCCGGGTGGGCGCCAGAAAGGAAAGAGGGCGAACACGTGGAAGCATGTCCTTAAATCTCCGCGCTTCCACGCCCCCTGCTGAATGAGTGACAGGTTGGTCTTGCTCTATCCCGGCTGGTGGGCAAACCCCAGCCACACGCAATCCAGGTGGTTATAATGGCCGTCAGGCGGCTGGAACCAATGTTTCCAAATAACTGAAACTACCACTGGGAAGACGCCATTACATCCCAGTGCTCATTTAACCTCCTAACAGATGGAATTCCAGTCATTGCCTCTTCTATGGATGTCAACAAACAGTTGAACCTGTTTGGAAGAAATTTTTTTTTAAGGTGCTGTAGACCAGCCATTCTCAACCTCTTTAACGAATCTTATAAGTCAGTGTGTGAAGAACTGTTTCCAGTCTGTGGCCCCCTTCCAATGTGCCAGCGGCCCCATGGGGCCTTATGGCCCCTATTGAGAGTGAATTAATAGTTAAGTAATTATACTTTCACAGCTATGTGTTAATCAGATAACTGATCTACATCAGAATTGGTTCATCGCCTTTTCCTTTTGTCTCTGGTTCTGGACTAGGTATCTGTCAGATAATATCTTCTCCAGAATCGTGTGGCTTTTGCTGACATTAAGAATGCCAGGTACTGAGGGTGGCCTTGAGAGAGACCATAAATTGCCTCAATTACTCTTGAAGTACCTGCTGCATTGGTAGGGCCATTAAAATGTCAAAGAACCATTAAACCCATGTTTATCATGTGCCTTCCATGCATCCCACATTCCAGAGGCCTCTTTGTTGTAACTGGCAAGCTAAATGTAAGACTCCGTCATGTCAAATAGACTGCCAGAAAGACAAACAAGTGGTTCAGGCCTGAACTATCTCCTACTTTGGGCACATCATAAGAAGACAGGATTCTCTAGAAACCACAACAATGCTGGGAAAGGTTGAAGGCAGCAGGAAGGGGAAGGCCAAATATGAGATGGTTTGATTCCCTAAAAGAAGCTACAAGCTTGATTTTACAAGAGCTGAGCAAAGCTGGCGAGGACAAAACATTTTGCAGATCGTGAGGCCTGAACTATCTCCTACTTTGGGCACATCATAAGAAGACAGGATTCTCTAGAAACCACAACAATGCTGGGAAAGGTTGAAGGCAGCAGGAAGGGGAAGGCCAAATATGAGATGGTTTGATTCCCTAAAAGAAGCTACAAGCTTGATTTTACAAGAGCTGAGCAAAGCTGGCGAGGACAAAACATTTTGCAGATCGTGAAGGCTTTCACAGACGGGATCTAATGGTTGTTGTGGGTTTTTTGGGCTCTTTGGCCGTGTTCTGAAGGTTGTTCTTTTTGACGTTTCGCCAGTCCCCATGGTGGGCACTTCAAAGGAATAGAAGTTTAAATAAACAAACAAATGCAACCAAACTAGTTTGCCAAAGCTGCTGGTATTTATAACCACAATATGGATGGGAAAAACCTCAGCTGCATTCACCAAGCACATCTGTATCTTCTTTTTCCATGTGATTGCTCATTCATTGGGTCGCCATAAGTTGGAGGCAACTTGACAGCACACAACAACATGTCAAATAAAGTCTAGGAGTCACACAGATGCCTCTGGAATTCTATACCATGTTTTTTCTATCACAAAAATTAAAAACACATCTGCTTGGAGGTAAGAGCCAATTCACTTTTTCTCACCCTTGTTCCTTCCCCAACTCATCTGCGTCTTACTTGGCTTCTCGTGGGAATAACATTAACACTTGATGAGTCACTGGGAAGGCAACAGGAAGTGCAACCTGATAGACAATCTGATCCACAAACTGGCAAAATGGAACATGTGAATTTAAGCTGATTGACATTTGAGTCCTAAATGCATTGTTTCTACATAGCATTGGCTTCGGGGTGCATAAGCTTGGGCTCTCAGGCTTAGTTCTACTGAAGTGACAGGACTGAATATAATTAGGGCTTAATTGTTAATGTTCCAGATTTGTGAGCTTTCTAATTTTTCAGTCTAGCACTGACTTGTCTCATACCGCATAGACAAAGCCATTAGTTCAATTGCTGGTTTAATGCCTTTTTTCCTTTAGGAATCATGGTGTTGGGAAGAGGCCAAAGAAAAGATTACCTAGCTTTTCACAGAAAATTCTATGATCCTAAAGCATCTGTGATGATGTCCAGCCTCTTGCTGGAGAAGCATAAGATTTTTATTACTATAACTTACAATTTTCTTACAATGGCTGCCAATAAATGTCTCTTAGTGAACTGACCAAAAACAGTCATGTTAAAAATTAAAAATAAATTCAATGGAGGCTTTTTTTCAAAATACCGGAGTGGGCGGGCAGGTGGGGGTGGGGAAAGCCAGGGGGAAGGGGGTCCTTCCATCTCTCCCCCTCCCATCCAAAATTATAACATAAAATATACAAAAGCATAACATTTTAAAGATTTTTATCATTGCCTGCCTGACGGAGGACATTAGGCTAAAAAGGAGGACATGTCCTCCTTTTGCCTGACATCTGGCAACCCTAAATGGAGGTGATGTCATCAAAGTATACCAGGATGGGCAAAGGATGAGCGAAAACACCTCCAGATGTTCTTGACTGCAACTCCCAGCATAACCCATCATTGGCCATCTTGGCTGGGACGAATGGGAGCTGCAGACACCAACATCTGGAATAGCCATGTGGTAGATCCTTTGCATGTCCTATGCAGAACAAAAACAAGGCTGTTCCACTCCCAGATAGCACAGGTGATTGCCTGTCATGCCCCTGTCAGACAATGCTTTCAGTGAGGAGGAATCTGATTTCCAGGATCCTGGGAATGTGGAAGAACCGGACAGTCCTGTGGACTTTGAGCCCTCAGGGGGCAAAAGACAGAGGAGGCTCAGCTCTGGATGCAGATGAAAAACAACATCACTTCACACTCTGCAAGAGTGTTACTGAGGAAAGGGGATTATTATTATTATTGCAAAGATGCTAATACTTTACATGCTAGAAACTGTTTGGAGATTTTAACAACTGTATTGAGCTTTCATGGGAATAATATTGCAGAGAGCCATATTTTATTGATAGTAAAACAATGATGACTCATTATTGGTATTTTTATTTATATTTATTAGAAGAGTACAGGTAAGAGCCAATTCACATTTTCTGGAAATCACCGATGTAGCTGAGTTGAGAGATAAAGTTTACTGGAGAAATGAAAAGATAGATAGGAATTACTTTCACCAGAGAAGTATCTTTTTATTTTGCATCTGAGACAAAAAACATGTGTCAGCTGTTTGAAATTCTTTGCCCCTTCCCCTGAAACTGGCAAATAAGAAGGTGCCGCACCATAATGGATTTCAAACTGGGCCACAGATTTATTGAACTGTTCACATCTTGAATGCACCTTGTGAATCTGATCACTACCAACCTTTTCTTCCACCCATCAGATTGTGACCTATTTACAAAGTGACACCCACCCACTCTGATCTGTCCATTGTGTCCTGTAATCATCATAATAGGATTGGTGGAAATCCACCTGGGTCTCTTCTTTCAATACAGCAGTTAAATTCTTTTCTGGCTCCAAACAGTGACCAGAAATGTCACTCTGGGTTATAGGGCAGGTGAGTGGGCCCCTGTGGACCTTCTAAAGAGGCCAACTCTGGGGCGGACCAACCTTATAAGTCTTTCTTCACCACCCCTTGCACTGATTGCATAGTGATGCGCTCGCCTCACCTGCGCATACTCCTCTTCCTTTTGCCAGAACTGGGCAATGGTCCCCCTCCCTCCAAGCTGTGAGGCTGTGGGAATAAGGAGGCATCATTGTGTTTATGATACATTTGGTATTTTCCTCTTAAGTTTATAAAAGAAGTAAGGTTTCTAGGCTTCTTTCTTATTTTTATCACAAAGTGTTTAACATTCCTTCCTCTGGACTTGTACTACTCATATATAAGACTGCTGGTCAATAATTCCAATCTGCCTTGTGTACTTATAAAATGACATACAACTTATTTATATTTCCCATTTCAATATAAATATTTAACATCATCTACTATACACTCACTTCGAATGCTTTATCAAGGGTCTAGGGAAAGATTAGTCTGCATTTTTTCTCAACAGCAATTGTACCTCTGTACAGTATTTTTAAACCACGCCATCCTTTTTAAAGGATTCCTAGGGATCCCTTTCTTTTCAGGTTGAGCTGCGTTTAATGTGATTCACAAACATTGTTAAAAAGATCATGGGAAGTGAGAAATCTAGAAACGCTAATTGGAATCTCAGCAGTCTTCAACATCTTTCTTGCTGACCTAGGAAACATTCTTTCCATTATATATAACCAAGACAAAGAGTTCCTCTAGGAGTGGCAAAGGAACAGTATTTACAAACATTATAATAAGGGAAAATGTCATTATGGATGCGTCGTGGAATGTTTCCATGAAGCTCATACAAAAACCAACCCCTCTTTCCATGGTTTATCTCCCAAGGAGACAAGTAATAGTGTTAATGCCATACCAACATGCATTAATATCTGTATTTTTCAAGTGCAAAAATATTTCTGATGTTCAGCAACAGCTGATGTTAGCATAAATATGCCCACCTTGACCAGGATAGCTCAAAACATTTTGCTGCCTGAGGTACAGCAGCAAATGGCACCTTCTGTTGTTTGCTCAGTTGAGGTGCTTATTATCCAAAGCCAAGTTATTTTGGTACTTGAGACAGAAAATGCTGTAGGTAAAAATACAAGAACAAAGTAAATAACAACTAATTCAAAATCTGCCACTTATAGTGAGTGCCTCACAAATCATTCTGCCTAAAGATAGAGCAGGACCTGAGCTGCACATTGTGTTAACTTTTTTATCTTTAATCTCTGTAAAATGAGGGGATTTCTTGTTCTCTGTACCTTCATGTAGAGGAAGGGAGCCCCACCAAAGCAGTTCTACTCTACAACAACCTTTCTCAAATGGGCATGCTCCAGATATGAGTAACTATAATTTTGAGCATACCAACCAGCATTATCCATGCAAACCAGAGACTATTCCAGCTGAAGTTCAAAGTAACTGCTGGGTACCTGACTGAAAAATAAAGCTCTTCAGCTGATTACAGAGAGGAAACTGCTTTATGGCAGCTACCTTGATGCATTTTTAAATAAATATTCTGCAAAGGAATGGGACATCTAAATAGTTCTTACACCCTAAAGAAGGAAGATACACAGACAGGACAACAGTTGATTGAATTGAGCCCCTCATAATGCTTCAGAACCTCATTCCAATAGCTGAGGAATAAAGTTCTTAAGCATTATGAGAGACTCAATTTTGTCTTGTTTTGTTTTTTACAGATGAACTATCTAGTTTTCAGCCAGACCGTATAAATGAAGCTCCTCCTCCTCATATCTACATTTCTATCCCGGTTGGACCGGTGATTAACTAAAATATCTTAAAAATATTTCTCCACAGTACTGGGAATATAGAGTAATTAATTATGCATACTGTCTCTTGTTTAGTTTTCCCACTTGTATTATACAACAACCAACAAGACTGTGGGGTTTCTTGATGGAAGAGAAATTTATATGTAAATACTCTCCAACACTGAAAATGGATTAAGCTCATAACTTGTACATTTACAACATTTACATGAAGTTAATTAACATAATTAAAAGGACAGTGCCGGGATACAAGTATAGGACATAAATTCACATTTTATTAATATAACACAATAGTTTAATCCAATTATGTAATCTTCTAACAGTTAGGCAACTGACATTATATATAGGGTCACCACCAGGATTTTCCGAATTATCATCTGTATTAATGCCTACCCATATTAAAGTTCATTTCACATTTTAAAATGTGAATATGTCACACATGGCAAGAAGGCAAGCAAAATCAGCTTGGGACATTCTCTCCTATGAAAACACTACAGTATTTCCAGCGGAGGTCTCTATAGCTGGGCTGCCTGAGCCCCCTAACAGCTGAAGGCATTTAAGAAAGCTGGTAGGTGATGTCACCTGTACAGTTTGAACTACGTATCGTTCTCCACACAGGAAAGAGCTTTCCCTCAAGAAGACCCCTTACTTCAGAGGCAACACATCCTTCCAAGGAAATTTTTCCTACAAACACTTCTCTTTGCAGCCTCTCTCTGGGCCTGGGCCTTTAATCAACAGCATTCATGTGGACTGGGGAGTGAGGTACAATCTCTTGTGACTGTGATTTACATACAGCTTCCTTAATCTGGCAATTTAGGACCCTTAGGCCTCTGCAGGTCTGCTACTATCTGTAGATCTGGCCTCTTGGATCTCAGAGATCTCAGATTGGATGGATCCTAGATCCTCTGCTTTACCCATGCTGGGTTTGGGAGTCTCTAATTTGTTCTTGCTGGATGATGTGTCCAGTGACAGCATGAAGCGAACACATATGAAACCACACTGAATTCCATGTATAAAATATTGCAAGGTGGAAGTGGGGTGTCCTGTTTCAGACTGGGACCCATACGGAATATCCATGAAACTCTGTAGGTATCCACTGTAGTTCACTGTAGAGCCGGACAATCTAGGTACAAATTCAGAAGAACTAGGATGTTACTGCAGCATCTGAAGGCTTGGCTTTTTGGGCTGGTGATATATTTGGAATTTTGAGCAACTGACATTAGATGATTATAGTTTACTAGATCCTCGGAGATACAAGTAATCCATCCCAATAAATCTAGTTTAAATTTCACAAGAGGAAGGTATGGGGGCAGGAGTGCTGATAATTAATGGCACTAGCCTACTGTGCTCCCAAGTCTAATGGCATTAATGATGAGATAAATGCTATTATGGATCTTTAGGGGGAAGTGCATGAAAATAAAAACTCACTTGATTAGCATTGCTACTGTGATGAATAATAGCCACGTGACTATATATATATGGAGAAAATGGAGCACAGAAAGCAGCTGAAATAAAAGGCATGACAACATCAGAAGACTAGGTGTAATTCACAAGGCAGATGCACCAGAATTATTTTGAAGAAGGCAAGGCTGGACCCCAGTGTCCTCTATGCTCTCCCTCCTAAATTTCTCTCCCTTTCTCACACACACACATACATTCACACAGGGGGTGGGGGGAGGATGCCAGGGTTTTAGAGAAGACAGACAGTTATAAGAGATATTTTTTTCTAATTCTACAAAGGGAAGTTGAATGTATTTCTTCTTAAGAGCTTTCATTTCCGGCTTGGTTTCAAATCTGAACAGTTCTTCAGGGAAAAAGGCTTGGGATTTGTAACTGCGCTTGGGAGTCTGGATTGGCTGAGCTATGTTATTGCCACAGAGGAACAAAGAGCACAAACATGTCTCTGGGATCCACTGAGTAAGCTCCTCTGCTCACAAAAGCAAAAAAAAACAGAAACAGAAACCACGAAGAAATGAGGAGCAAAGGGTGAAGTCTATGAGGAGAAAGGAAACTTGGGGCAGAGTTGAGCAGGTAGACAGTTAAAATGTGCTTATAAATTGAGTCCAGTAGAAGTTAGTGATTCCAGTTTCGTAGAGGTGGGAATCCATCTTAGTTTTATTCCAACCTTTTCAAGGGCTGTCTAAAGTGCTGAACTGTATTCTCAAATTAGTTGGACAGCTCCTATAAAGTTCAGACTAAAAGCCAGAGTAGTTTCATTGCCCCTGAAAAATCAGAGTCACTGCCTGCAACTGGCTGGGAATAGAAACCTGAATGGTGAGGGCCAGTGAAGAACCAGCCTCTGTCATGCATATCTTGGACATATCCAGATTAGACTTCCACAATGCTCTCTAGATAGGGCTGCTATTGAATAATGTCTAGAAACGTCAGCTAGGAAAAAATATACAAGAGTCAAGGTGGTGTCTGGCATCTGTTTCAGGAGGGCATATGCACCCAGATTTCTCCAAGGTGTGTTGGTTCCCAATTTGCTTCTGATTACAATTCAGTGTAGAAAACTGCTACTTGTTTTATTGACAGGCTTTATAAATAGGGCTTTGGGTGGCCTGGTGCAAAGGTATCTGAAGAACTGCTTTCTCTCACATGTTCCTACCCACCCATTAAAATTGTCACCAGATGTCCTGCATCATGCCATAGTGCCATTTGAAATCTAATTGGTGGAGATTGTCACAGAGGAACAAAGAGCTTCTTTAGAAGCAAAATTTTTTCCACTGATAATACTGCAGTCTGCCACGCTTCAGGTGGCCTGGTGCAAAGGTATTTGAAAAACTGCTTTCTCTCACATGTTCCTACCCACCCATTAAAATTGTCACCAGATGTCCTGCATCATGCCATAGTGCCATTTGAAATCTAATTGGTGGAGACACGGGACAAGGACTTTTCAATGGGAACATCGAGGAACTCCCTAGCATCAGAGTTCTTTATGAGCACTGTGCATTTGTGTTTGATCAAGACAACAAATAACATCACATGTCCACCCCAAGAACTGCAGCCTAAGTCAATAGGTAGGCATTAAAGAAATAATGTATACTCAATATTACAAGAGCTTTCAAAAATAAAAAAATAAAAAAGATATGTGAGAAATGTGGCACATTGATAGGTTATATTTAATCTTAGAACTACTGTATAGGATGATACAACAAATCAAATGTGTGGGCAACTCAGTTTCAAGCATACAGATCAGTGTAAAGTGAAGAATGGAATTTCTTTGGTAGATGTTTGGCGCCATCTGCAGACTAATAATAAAACAGTGTCTTTGTATCTACAGAAAACAGAAATGACTTCAAACTATTACTAATGAAGGTGGAAGAGGAAACAGCAAAAGTGTGACTGAAATTGCATATTAAGAAGACAAAAATCATGATACAGAAGGATTATATGACTTCAGTGTTGGCAATAAAAAACTGAAAACGTTTTTTTTAAATTATCTTTGTCATTATGTGTCTTCAAGTGGGAATCAATTTATAGTGACCATAATAGAGCTTTCAATGTAAGTGAGATATTTAAAGAGTGGTTTTACTAGTTCAGCTCCCCCAGTGAGTTTTCATGGCTGAGCAGGGCTTCACTCTCAGGGCTCCTGAGTCCTAGTCCATTACTCTATTCACTCTACCACAGTGGGTTCACAGTGATGGCAATCTATACCTCAATGCGGTCATCAGTCCAGATGGAGCTGTTGCACTGAACAAGCTTCAATGGAATAAATCTGAATGTCAAACAGAGGCTATTACCCCAGTGTTAAATACATCTTTGACTCACACATTTTGACAGAGGCTATTAAATACATCTTTGACTCACACATTTTGAAACTTTCAAGCCAACCCACCACAGTCTCTGTATTTTGATGCCATATATACATGTATAAATATTTACCATGTTATCTCTCTCTCCTCTCTCTCTCTCTCTCTCTCTCTCTCTCTCTCTCTCTTACGTGTGAGGAAGTGGATTTTATCTATGAAAGCTCACATTAAAATATAAGGGTTAGTCTTTAAGGTCCTTTTTATTTGTTCTTTTATTCATTCATTCATTCATTTTCCCTTTCTGTTTGCTTGTAATGCTTGCACAGAGTACCATGGCTACTTCTAAAACTACAAGAAATGAAAATACTGATTCTCATAAGGGGAGCTGTGAAGGATTTTAAAAAGATCGTCAAGTGGAAGGAAGTGCTAGTAAAAACCAAGGCCAATATCATCCATATCATGGTATTCCAAAGCTGGACAATAAAGAAAGCCAATGAGAAAAGCCAATTCATTTGCAATATGGCATTGGAAGAGAGCTTTACAGATGCTGT